AGAATTTTAGTTAAAAACAATAAAAAATTGAATTTTGAAGAAATTACAAATGACTGTAGAAATTTAATTATTTTCAAAAGTAATGATATCTTATTACAAAATTCAATTATGTTCAAAATTTACAAAAAAATCTCGACAAAATCCCAATTATTATTATCTTTATGAATAAAAAAATTCTCCCTCGAAATTCAATTATTTTCAAAATTTTTAATAAAATTCTTATCAAAATTTGAATTATTTTCAAAAATTTTCCTCTTTTCAATGATTTTCAATACATATACTATTTTGATAAAATTACCCAAAAGGATATAATTATTTAATAACAATTTTAATAGAATTGTATGCAAACATTTATTTTCATAAATAATAGAAATTTCCCATGAATTCAAATATTTATAAATTTCTTTACAATAATTCAATTATTTTCAGAAATAATAAAACTCATCGCAGAATTTCAATTATTTTTAAACCAATTTTAATAGAAATTCTCAACTATTCTAAAATATTTTATTAAAATTCGTCAAAAGAATTCAATTATTATTTAAAAATTTGTTAATAAAATTCATTATAAGAATTAAATGTTAAGAAACATTCAATTATTTAATAAATAATTTACATTTGTATTTAAATAATTGAATTCTCGTAGAATTTTCTAATAAAAATTGATTTGAAAATGAATTTTAGTTTAAATTTTAGATAATAATTGAATAAAAAAATTATTTTTAAGAAGTTACAGTAACAATATTCTTATAATATAAAATAATGATTTTATCAGTCGTGTATTTTTGATTATTATAAAACATGATCCGAGTCTTCAACTCGGAGTAATCGTTTTCTTTATGTTTTATAACAATATTTTTAAAGTTGATTAATTTCAAAAAGGTTTGAATTTGAATGTTTTGAAGAATTTTAATTACTACGTAAAAAAAATTTTTAAAAACTTTTTTTTCAATAATATTTTTTCCTTTATTTTCTAAAAATTCAAAAATTTTTAGTTTTATTTTCAATTAAATTTTCTAATTGACAAAAATATAATTTATTAACATTTTTTTTCTTTATTTTTACTAAACTTTGAATTTTATTAAAACAATTGAAATTAAGAAATGTAATTGATGCAAATTATTTCCTTATGAAAATTGAGAATTTTCTACAAAAATTGTCAAGAAACGGGAATATCTAATGTTTTTCTTCGCCCCTCAAAAAAATGAGTTTGTAAACAATATTATTATTGAGAAATAAAAATTATGCATTAAATGGGTATAATTCCTACTTCTTAATCAAAATTTTTTTAACAATTAACAATTTTCTAGTATTTTTTATAAAAAGGAAATTTTATAATTTTATATTTTTTAAGGAAATTATAAAAAGGAAATTTTATAATTTTATATTTTTTAAGGAAATTATAAAAAGGAATCAAGAAGTAGTCAGACACACGCTAAAGTATAAAGACAATTTTCCTCCTATCCGATAGAATTCAAAAGAAAAGTTAGATGTCTGACTAAACACGATTTTCACTACTTAAACAATTTCTTTTTATATTCTATATATATTCCAATATTACATTATATCATAATTATTATAATTGATATACAATTTTCTAAAATGAGATATCAAATAAATTTTAAAATTTAAGTAAAATAATCAAAATACAATCAGACGGCAATTGTCAGAATTAATAAAGTGACTATAATTTAGTCCCGTTTATGTCCCGTTATGTTTCTTAAATAAATAAATAAATAAATTTACTAATAAACCAGTTTATACAGCGTTTCTGAAATATGTGCCTTGTTACAGTTTTACAAGCTATCTGAATTTTAATATTAAAATTCAATTTTAAAGTAGAATAATCAATGTCCTGTCAGACTTAAAAGATAGGTATTTTTATCTTTTACCCTACATTATTAATCATCATGATTCTGAAATTTTAACTCATCTTAACAAACTATTTCTGTTCTAACATGGTTTCAAAAATAAAAATCAATTTTACTTTTCAAAAATTCACCATAAAATTTATAATATTTAAAGAAAATGAATTCTAGATCTTCTGGACTAATAAATCAAATTTTGCATTTTTAAAGCAAAATTTAATTTTAAAGTAGAATTTATTTAAGGAAAAAAATATTTCAACATCATAAAATTTTCATTATCTTTTCTCAAAAATATAAAAAAAAAAACCGATTGTAGATATTTATATATAAAATGCGATTAGTAAAATATTCATCCCTTATTTTAAAATTAAACGAGTTTAGAGAATATTTTTATAAACGTAAATTTAACAAGAAAATTGTAATTTCACCAATTTTACAAACTTTTGTCATTTCATTCTTTCTATTCCTCCAATTTGAAACTACAGGCCTTTAACTGTAATACAATTTTTTCTTTGCAAAAAGTTTAAAAACTTGTCAGATTGAGACCTTCATGAACTGAATTTAAAATAAAATTTTTTTTTCCCAAACAAAAATCAAAATATCTACAATTTCTTTTTTTTTTTGCTTTTTTATTTTCAGAGAAAAAAAAACCTTTTATTTTTAAAAATATAAAAAATTCTAAAAAACTAGATATGAAAAATGTTTTATAAAATATTCTTTATGCGGGGAAAAAAATAACAATGTTAAAACACCCCTGAAAAAAAGATTTATTTTGACAATTTTTTTTTTGGCTAAAAAAATGCAATCACTGTGAAAAATGAATTTTTTTTTTTGTAATTTCGCAATATTATTTTCATGAACCACTTAAGGGAAAATTAAATATACATCCATAAATTAAATTCCACTGCACATAAAATGTCGGAGTTTTTTAGAGTCCAGCTATTTTTTTGCCCATTTTTATTTTTTTTTTCTGTACCACCCGCGTGATTTATCGTGTTTTGGCAAATACATTTCATTTGAAAAATAAATCAGGAAAAAAATTACTGGCGGAAAAACGGGTGCAAGGTTGTCACACGTCCTGTCGTTTTATCCGCATGTATATACTTTAACCCACAATGAAATTGGGTTTCACTGGCAAATTATTCACAAATCGGAACTCAAATACATCCAAATACAGTTACGAGTATTGAATTGAAATAAAACTTTCGCCCTATATCTTGAAACATAGAGAGAGATGAATTTTTTTTCTCCCACATAATTTTTAGTCTTCTGTTCATATTCTTAATTTGTATTTTATATATATAGTAATATTCCCAGTAGTAAAAATTAAAAATTTATTTTATTGAAAATTTTAAACCGATTATTTTTATATTCTCAAATAAATATTTTTTTTCGCAATGCCGAACAGAAAAATATATTGCTGTGTTCCAAAAATTTTACAGATGCAAAAAGAAAATTTATTTTTTTAACTCTTTTAATGACAAAAATAGAAAAAAAAATGACAAAAGTGAATAATAAAAAAAGCGTTTTTATAGGATGCGTTATAGTCGTTTTTCGTAACATTCGAAAATTTTAGTATGCGAATTTGATCTCGAGTCGGATATAGCTCAGCGGAATTAATCTCGTTACACCTAGCTTTCAAACGATTTTTTTATGCTCGTCACTGGGATTTAATCCTTGCTGAGTGTGTGTCTTTTACGTCGCATGTGAAAGGTTTCGAAAAAAGTACCTACGATGCAGTGAACAAATTTTTCATTCCTTTTTTTTTAAACACATTATCCACAATTAAGTCAACCGAACTGAATATACGTGATTCACCATCATTAAATTACAACGATCTTGTTAAGTTGATTTTTCAAAAAAAAAAAAAAAAATCTAATTTTTTATGCAATTCAACTCTATTTTTATACTCGTTACTATGGTTACCTTTTCATCAAAAATCTGATGATTATAATAATTATCACATTGAGAAAAGGATATTTTTCAAATTCTAAACTGATTTCATTTTATCTTCATAGAATATCGCTTTTAAATTCAAAGAATTTTTCATTTATGCATTTTCTATATATACACATGGAATAAATGATGTTAATTATAATTATGAACTGAAAGAATTTGAACGTAAAAATGAATTTATCTCTCAGAGTCTATACTGACCTATTTCTTATTTGTTTAAAATAAATTTTATTAAATTCCAAAGATCAGAGTGTTTTTTTAAACAAAGGTGAATTCAGTATTCAATATTGTAATTAATTATCGATAAACTCAAGGCTAAATATTTTCGATAAGTTTAAATTTCGATGAATTGTATTTGCTTTTGAATAAAGTTAAAATAAATTAACAACGTTCATTTATATATTAAATTCGAATGAATTAAATATTAAATCATCATTTCAAATTGATTGCTAAAAATTTGATTCTCTTGAAAATTAAATGAAAATTTAATAATAAAATTTAGTCGATTATAATTTTAATTCATAAATACTTAAGTAACTTTAAATTGCAAGGAAATTAAATTTATTTAACTTTAATGTTTAATTTGTTAAATTTATTTAATATTAAATTTTATTAGAATTAGATTTCTTTATCTTATTAAAACTTTAATTTTATTTTATTTATTTTATTTAATTTTATTTTATTCAACTTCTATTTTATTTATTTGGAATAAATTTTATAAGAATTAGATTTTTTTATTTTATTAGAACTTTAATTTCATTTGTTTCAAATAAATTTTATTTAAAATTTTTATATTTGATTTCTTAAATATAAAAAAATTTCTCTGCTTGTAAAAGAATGTTATTTGCAAAATTGTCTGTGAAACAATAGAGGAACATAATCGATAAATCGTCAGTGTTACATGAACGGGGAAAAGCGAATTTCATTAGATTTTTCTTGAGGAAAATAAACAAAGTAATACCGTATTTTCTATCGGTAAAGTGCAGTGGGTGGAAATGTAAGATAAGCTGTCATTGAAAGAATTCCTTCGTCAAGGAGGTGATAAACGTTGTTTCTGGTTGAAAAAACTATATATAACTATACAATACAAATACACACACACACACACACATACACACTCTCACAATACATAAAATGTGATCATGTCGAAATGACTCTTTGCCTTCACTTTTCCAGGCATGTTGTACGTAAGAAGAGCGGAAATAGAGGTCCGCACGAAAGATGATGGAGTTAAGTAGATAGAAGACCATTCTTGGCACCATCAGCAGACGCTACTTTGCGGCGCACGATGCTCTGCTATCTCTCTCTAACTATTCTCTTCGTCGTTAATGTGCCATTCGGTAAGTCCTCAAAAATGTCACTTTATTTCATTATCTTTATTTTTTTTATAAATACGAAAATTAATTTTTCAAATTTCATTTTGAGATGAACAAAATAAGTGAAGAGTGTAATTCTGAGTAGAAATATAAATAAATAGTCGGACAGAAGTAAGAAAAAAATTATTTTCAGTGGAAATATCAATGAATAATCAGACACAAGTAAAAAAAAATGGTGGTTTTAAGTAGAAATGTCAATGAATGTCCAGACAGAAGTTAGAAATAATTAATTTTCAGGAGAACAACTCATAAGTAGACAGACAGAATTCAGAAAAAAGTGGTTTTAAGTAGAAATATCAATGAATAGTCAGACAACAGTTAGAAATCAATGATTTTAAGTAGAAATGTCAATGAATAATCAGACAAAAGTTAGAAAACTATGATTTTAAGTAGAAATGTCAATGAATAATCAGACATTTTCATAAAAACTGGTTTTAAGTAGAAATGTCAATGAATGGTCAGACAGAAGTTAGAAATAATTAATTCGCAGGAGAAAAATTAATAACTATTCAGACAGAAGTTAGAAAATAGTGGTTTTCAGTAGAAATGTCAATAAATAATCAGACAAAAGTTAGAAAACTATGATTTTAAGTAGAAATGTCAATGAATAATTAGACAAAATAAAAAAAATTATTTTAAGTAGAAATGTCATAGAATAGTCAGACAAAAGTTAGAAAACAGTGATTTTAAGTAGAAATGTCCATAAATAGTCAGACATTTCAATAAAAACTGCAATGCTAAGTTGAAATATCAATAAATAGTGCAACAAAAGCAAGAAAAAAATTAATTTTCAGTAGAATTATGAATGAGTAGTCAGACAAAAGTTAGAAAACAGTGGTTTTTAGTTAAAAGTAACAAATTCTCCAGCAAAAATTATTAAAAAAGCGGTTTTAAGTAGAAATCTCAATAAGCAAGCAGACAGAATGTAAAAATCAGAGAATTTCAGTAGAAATGTCAATAAATGGTCAGACAAAAGTAAGATAAAATTAATTTGCAGTGGAAATATCAATGAATAATCTAAAAACAAGTAAAAAATGAACATTTTAAGTATAAGTATCAATTAAGGATTCGACAGAAGTTAGATGTAATTAATTTTTAGGAGAAAAATTAATAAGCAGTCAGACCGAAGTTAGAAAACAATTATTTAAAGTAGAAATGTCAATAAATAGTCACTTAAAAGTTAGAAAACAGTGATTTCAAGTAGAAATGTCAATGAACAGTCAGACAGAAGTAAGAAAAAGTGAATTTTCAGTAGAAATATCAGTGATTAGTCAGACAAAAGTAAGAAAACTAGTTTTAAGTAGAAATATCTATGAAACGAAAAATATGAATTATAATTTGATGAAGTTTCGGTATGTAAATTTAAAACTAGAAAAAAAAATTTTTTTCTTTTAAATACTGAAAATTTTTAGTAAAATTACTACTGAATTTTTTGTTACATCAGATTATTTTTTCCCCACTAAAAAATTCATGTATAGGTATGCAAATTGAATATAGAAAATTTTTTAAAAAATCCGAATGACAACTGAATTTTTCTTTAAATTTATTAAAGTTATTAAAAATTTATAACGAATCTTGAATATTTTATACTCTCAGGATAAAAAAATTCATTGTAAAATAAATGTGTTATTTTAAATATAGCAATATAGGAATATAATATATTAATATAGGTTATAGATTAAATTAAAAATTACTTTGCCATGAAAACGCTGATGATATTAAATTTTTCCTAACTGATGAAAATTTAAAAAATATAATTACAGCAGTTACTTTCGATTTTGATATTTTTAAGTGTTAAAAAAAAATTCAAGAAAAAAAATTACTTAAAAAACATACTTATTTTAAAAATACGCCACCGACTGTACTTAAAATTGCATACGAACATATGAATAGAAGAGAATGAAGTCTATTTTCCGCAGTATGTAAAAATCATTAAAAAAATGAAAAAGAAAGAATGGAAAAAAATAGTTGAAAGTGTAAAAGGAGAGATTGTGAAAAAATAGATGGAAAGACGCGCGTTTGTGTGCGTTTGCGTATTTAAAAATGAATGGAGTAAAAGGACATAAAAAATAATCTTTTGGTGAGTTGATTCAAATGGATGCTGCATTACAAAATCATGCTCAGTCAAGAGAAATGGCCACGTCATTTGCAGATGTAGCAGACGTCGGTGCCAAATACCTATACAGGTCGCGGGAAATAGGACTGGATATGCGCGACTGGTCAACTTCTGGCCCTGATGTTTATTCGACGATAGGACTGCTCTTGTCATTCGAATTAATTTTCTCGATTTGGGTCGAGATACATCTACAACCATCCTTGAACTATTCACTTCCATTGTACTATATCAAACTTGCCTAATAATATAATAACCATTCATAAACAAATATCTACAACACAAACTTTTTCACTCCCTCCCCATTCGCATACGGGACGAAATTTTACATTCTTAATTTATACAAAATTCTTATCATTTTTATTTTAAAATACAAGAAGTTGTGAATAGTTTAACAAACAAATAAATTTTTTAAAGAATTTTAATTTTATAGTTTGAAAAGGAATAATTTCTCCAAACTTTTAAAAAATAAGTTAAAAAACAATGAATTTAAGTAGAAATGTCAATGGATAGTCAGGCAGAAGTTATTAAAAAAAATGTATTCAGTAGAAATATCAATGAGTAGTTAGACAAAAGTCGGAAAACAGTAGTTTTTAGAAGAATTGTCAATAAATAGTCAGACTAAAATTGGAAAACAGTGATTTTAAGTAGAAATGTCAATGACGAATAACCAGACAGAAGAAAAAATAAATTTGCAGTGAAAATATCAATGAGTAGCCAGAAAGAAGTTAAAAAAAATTGTTATTTAAGTAGAAATTCCATTTAATATTTTGACAACAATTATAGAAAAAAATAATTTGCAGTAGAACAATTAATAAATAGTCACACAGAAGTTACAAAACAGTCGTTCTTAGTAGAGATGTTAATAAATAGTCAGAAAAAAGCATACAACAGTGGTTTTAAGTAGAAATGTCAATGAATAATCAGACAAAAGTTATTAAAAATTAATTTACAGAAAAACAATTTTTAAGTTTTTTTTAATTAAAATTTTTTTAAAGATGAAATTAAGAAACAATGATTTTAAGTAGAAATGTTAATGGATAGTCAGACAGTAGTTATAAAAAATAATTTTCATTATAAATATCAATGAGTATAGTCAGACAAAAGTCAGAAAACAGTAGTTTTTAGTAGCATTATCAATGAATAGTCAGACTAAAGTTAGAAAACAGTGATTTTAAGTAGAAATGTCAATGAACAACCAGACGGGATAAAAATTAAATTTGCAGTGGAAATATTAATAAATAGTCAGACATAATTTAGAAAACAGTGGTTTTAAGTAGAAATATCAATGAATATAGTCAGACAAAAGTTAGAAAACAACGATTTGTTAACAAAATATTTATTTTATTGTTAATGAATTTTTTCTGTCAACGAAATATTTATTTATTGTTAAAAAAAAATTTATAATTATAAGCCCTATTCAATTCAAACTTATTCCTAAAGTAACGAGTATAGAATGTTTTTTTAATGAAATATAGAAATTTTTATATAAGTTGAAAGAGCAAACGTATCATAATTGCGAATCATCTTTGAGACAAGACCAGCACTTTTCAAAAAATCAGAGGAGAAAAACTGAAAACTATGTGATCATTCACATCGAATAGAAATTACGAACTATATCAGTTGAAACTTTGATAAAAGTTTTATTAATCAAAAACCATTCGCGAGAGAATTTTGATTTCAAGGCAAAAACGTTCGCAGGTTCGTTTCTTGCAGTTTGTGTGATTAATTAATTAAAAACTATTGCTCAATTAAAAAGGTATTTTATGAAAGTTATATAAAATAAAAACTTTTTAGAAATATAGCTAATAGTAGCTTTAAGACTGAAAAAAGTAGTAAAACAGTAGCTATCGAAAAATTAAATTTGACAACTAAAAAACTCATTTTAATCGATTTACAAAAATCACAAAAAAATTTGATTCTGTATTTTCCTGATTTCGATAAAAAAAATATTTACTTTTTTTCTTAACCTAGCAATAACCAGAGTATTTTATTCAAATATTTTTAATAATTGATTTCTTTCGAAAAACTTCCTTGAATATTATATTTTAAATAATTGAATTCCTGTGAAAATTTTATTATTCATCACATTAATTGGATTTTTCCGAAGGATTTTATTAATTCTTTTTTAATTATTAAATTCTTTTGGGAAATTTTATTTAAATAGTAGATTTGGAAAATATTTGAATTTCATGGAAGAATTTTATTTTCATTGTTTTTTTTATTTTGTTTTTTAGGATATTAATTTTCATCTTAACATTCACAACAAGAAAATAAAAAAAATTTGACTGTATTCAAAAAAATTCTTTTTTTTCGGTTTTAGGAAAAGATTAGTTAAAAAAAATGGAGGCATGACTGTCAAATGGCTAACTCGTGACCAAGATAGTATTGTTTAGAGATATGGCAAAGCGGTTGTGACTGGACGATTGTTTTATTTTCCCCTCTTATCGTGAAACAACGACCTTTCCGGTCAAATTGGTTGGCTCAATTTAACCTCGTGTGGTAAACGTGATTAATCGTCCTTTTCCTTCGCGTATGTACTGATTCTCGATTTGCGGCATTCTACACGTATATAACTGACATACAATATATAACAGTGATAAACGAATGTAACGAGTTTTGAAAATTCAATCGAGTTTTTGATAAAAACAAAAAAAAAACAATAAAATAAAATAGAATAAACAAATAAACTAATCAACGAGATAATCTAGAGAAAAAAGTTCTTAATGTTAATTTTCTTTGTGATAAAAGAAACTATTGTAAAAAGGAGTACTGAAAACAATTAAATAACTTTTCCTTTTTAAGTATTTAAAACGAATTTTCTGATTCAAAAAGTAGAATAAACAAAGTA